ATACCTATTTAAACAATTAGCAGCTAAACAGGAATACTTAGCTTTACCTTTCGTTATTTAATAATAAATACCCGAACCGAGAACCAATTTCACAATCCACTGTGAGTAAAATTAAGTAAAAAATCAGAGAAACGGGTCATGTGAAAGGGTAGTAGAAACCCAATTTCCGAAAACAAGAAACTGGATGTTCTGGTAGCTTTTGAAGATAATCCGCATACCAGTTCACGGCAAGTAGCATTAGATAATGGCCTGGGAAATTTAACAGTTCTAAGAAGGCTAAAAGAGCAAAAGTAGCATCCCTACAAAGTTACTTTAGTACAAGAACTTACGGAAGATGATTTTGATAAACGAATTGAATTCTGTAAAATTATAATGGACAAAAACAACAGAAATCCAATGTTTTTATAAAATATACTTTTTCCGATATATCTATATTTTTACTAAGCGGTCATGTCAATCGTCATACTTCTCGGTATTGGTCTATCGAAAATCCACACTGGAGGCAAGAGTACCATACTCAATACCCAGAGAAAGTGAATGTTTGGGCGGGAATAATAGATAATAAGACTATTGGGCCATACTTTTTCGAAGAAACAGCAGGTCCTGAATATTTCGAATTTCTTCAAAACTTCTTGATCCCTGAATTGAACCGATTGTTCCCAAACAGAAATGATTTGTGGCTATAGCAAGACGGTGCGCCTCCACGCTATGCTGTCTTGGTGCGAAACTACTTGAACGCAAATCGGTGGATAGGTCGAAGAAAATCAATAGAATGGTCTTCTAGGTCACTCGATTTAACTCCTTTTGTTTTCTTTTTATAGGGATACTTGAAAAGTAAAGTGCACCAAAATGGATCACAAAATATCAAGGTCCATAAAAATCAAGAAAAAAAATTGGGGTTAGTATTTAAAAAATTGTCAATGACGTCACTGCCCAAAAATGGGAAGTGGAGACAACGTGAATTCTTTTTGAAAAATCGCGCTTTTAGTAAAAAAAACTTACCTACTTTTATTATAATGAATGTATTTCTTTCATTTGAATCATAATGTATATTGTCTACGTAAGTTGGTTACATATGGAAAACTTTTCCATTAGTTTTATTAAAAAAGCTATTCTTTATAAAAAGTTCTGAATAGTCTAAACTAAACAAAGGATGGCAAAATAAAAAATATATCGATATATCAAAATAAAATGAGATTTGTTTAGAGTCATTTCCACCGCTAGTCGTTAATAAATAAGCCAAGTTTAAAATGACATGTTTAATTGAAAAATGTTATTTTAAACCTGGTTTATTTCTTAACTACTAGCAATGGAATTGGGCCTTATTAAGACAAGTAATAAAACACACAATACATTTTTTTAAATATAGGTTCCATAGACGAACCAAACTTAGCCAAACTCAAACATTTACATTAAAGTGTTTGTGCTACGCATTATTTGAAAGCTTTCTGAGAAAAGAAATGAAAAATAATAAATTAGACAATCTTTTGCCACATAAACGGTTTCGGCTTTTGGTTGCTGTCAAATCAGCTTTCGAAAATAATCTTCATTTGTAACAGAAGTTACTATTGCAGAAAAATATTTTTATTACCTACTCTGGATTATGGATACTGAAAATAAAACTAAAAACTATGTAAATTCATATAACAAATCAAACACAAAAAATAAAACAACGAGCCATGTGTGCACGCATTGACGTGTTAGCTGCCAGTGGCTGCCACAGAACACTTACTCTTAGAACGGTAACTCCCATGTTAGAAAACGGTTATAGAAATTCAGCGCCACCTGGCGGACGTGGTTGATTTTTGTTCAAATATGTCCTTATCGGGTAAGAGACCATATGAAAGAAGATTAGAAAAAAAGCAAGGGGCCTTTCAAATTTGACAGTAAACAATAAAAACTGTTAGCTAAATTAAGATTGATGAACCAATCTTAACTTGACTAACAGTTTTTAGATTAAAAAATCAAGCATAATAAAAAATTAAATTTATTAAAAATATATATACAAATCCAATATTTAAGAAATGTATTTTTATGTATGTAGTTGGCTATGAGACTGCTACATATTCCAGAATACAGCATTGTGTCTCTAACATTATAAAGAGAATTATCTCTGAAATAGAAAAAACAGTATAAGTGTATAAATAAATATAACATTAATCAGAAACAATGGCCGTATTCACCGTCATCGAACAGTTTCATTTGATTGGGAATCATACGTTTCTATGCTTTGTGTAAACAGATGTGATGAGGGTGAACGAACAACGAACAGTGTTGAAATTTCAAATATCTTTATAGGGTTTGTACCTTAAATTAACTTAGGATCAGTTATTATTTCAGACATGTTAAGTTGGGTATTGAAATTATTTACGGTAATAGTATATTATTTAACGAGCGGTAATGCAGGTTATAAGTCATAACTCACGCAGATGAAGTTTGCAACACGAGTCGCAGGCGAGTGCTGTAATTCATCAAGTGAGTTATGACCATTACCGCAAGTTGAATACTATACTTTATCTACGACTATAACAATAAATACTAAAATACAAGTATCAAGAAAGAATTATATAATTGACTAGATGATAAAAACGTTTGAATCTTTGTAAAAGATGTTACCTTTATCAGGAGCTTTATTTATGAAATTATTAAGTTGTTCTGGCAAATGTTTTTGCCTTTTTAGCTATGTTTTTCTGATTGACGTTTAAGAAACGCACGTAATTTTGAATAATTCTCTATATTAATTCCTTTATTTATGTTGAGTGTGCTTCTTAGTAAGGAGTAGAAAGTCCGTAGAGACGATGCTTTATATTTATTGTTAAGTTCATTAAATTATGCCAAAGGTACATTTTCTGTAAACGAGTTACACCAATCTTGAAAATTTTAGTATACACCTTTATACTTGTTTTTTGATTTTTCTGATAATAAATTCTGTATTGCATTATTAGCTATCTCTCTTATTTTTGGAGGTGTACATAATAACTCATCTTCACTATCTAAATTCATCTTTTTTTAGCACTATTATTAGAAATTGATTTGAAAACGTCAAAATTGTCTTGTTAAAATATCAAATGACATTACTTCCCTCAATGTAATAATTGACTCTCTTCCGCCTACTGAGAGGCGTTGACAATTTAATAATTTTAAAATCTTTTAATTTTTTTTTTTTTTTTTAATTGGTGTCATCGGCGTCGACTACTACGGCCATTAGCCTCAAATCTTTTAATTATTGTTAATTTTTTTCCAGTTGTTAAAAAATATTTTTAACATTTTAAGCCAATGGAATATTTATCGCCTTTAAAATTTCCAAGAATTTACTGCGCACACTATTTACATACCGAATTATCGTAGGAGCCCAGCGTGAGTTATAATAACTCACTATTAAAACTCACGCTATTTGTTTATTGATACTATTAATTGCTCAAAAGCAGTTGAATAATTAATATATAAATTAATAGGAGTAGATAAAATATGTTACAGACACATTTTACTTCAACTTGCACAAATAACACTGCTACAGAACCCTTACTTTAGTTCCCATTTGGCTTATTTGACAAAAGTAAACGCAAAACGAACATTACAAATCACAAAACATCTGTCAAATGTAAAATTTCGTCGATTTTTATAGGTACAAGCGACTTATATTAATTTGCGCTTTTGTGTTTTAACAAACGGTTTCAAAAAAGCTATCCAATAAGTCAATAATAACTCAAAAATAAATAATAAATTAGGAACAAAGGGATAATAAAACATAATAAACGGTACTCAGGTAGGTATTATTAAAAATAACAAACGTGTCTCAATCTTTTTGATAAATAATGGAACAATCTTTAATGTCTCCTAGTTTGTTTCAATAGTATGGTTTTAATGAAACATTCTATAAGTAAATTACCCATTTGCAACAAAAATGACAATTATTTTAAATACTTTTATATCCAGACTAGTATTTTTTTTATGTTATGAAGAATCTAATTTGTTTGCTTTTTTTTAGTTACTTTCTTGAACACGTGAGTTTCTCGGAATCCTTCATTGCTGGGATCCCGTGAATTACAGTTTAGGAAACGATTTGCATTAATACATAAAATTTATAAACTTACCAATATTAGCATATTTTAGTTTAAGCCAGAAGACAGATGTAATTAATTACTTCGATCAACATATTCGATGTCTAAATCATTTGAAGTTAAAGGCATTTCTTTTACTGTATATTTTCTTTAAGATTGAAATCACAAATGAATGCAACCAAATTTAAGAATATCAATAAATTCGCAATTATTAGCTAGTTTCCGCCATGACACATTGCCCCCACAATACAAAAATCAGTATTTACCTGTCATCTGTCATTACACTCCCACCAGGAAAAAAAATATATATTCTTCACCAAAAAATGTACATTGTCTAAAACCTAAAATACAACCATCAGATATCAAATTTTTCAAGTCGCATAGGTTTGTCCAAAATTATGTACTAAAAATAATTTTTTTGTCAAACCTGGTATACGTCTCATAATATTTGATATCTGATTGATGTATTTTAGATTTTAGACCATGCACAATTTTTAATCAAGAATACTTTTTTTTGATGAAACCAATTATAAAAAAGTTTTCCACATGTAGCCAACTTACGTAGACACACTGTATACATTTTTTATTATTCCCATAACTAAGGTGAGTTGAAGTGCCAACGTTAACTCAAAAAAAAAGTGAGTTGAAATCGTTAGTATTTTTTAAGTCAAAACACACCGTTAATTTGGCAAAATTTATTGTATTACTAAAGTCGACTACAATCCCACACTATTCGGTCTCAAATTTGTGCCGTAGGTATGCTAATTGGACACCCTGTAGATTAATAAAGAATAACATTATTTCTCCAACTGCTGTTGCATCGAAGATTCCCACGCGCCGTCGGTAGTCCAAAAAATTATTGACATCGCCTCGTAGACCGCATCTTCTAATGTTTTTGCTATTCGAAAACCATTAGATTGTCGGTACACGGCCTTTTACCGCTCTCTGTGTGTGCGAGTCGGGTGGGGACCGTACTTCCAGCTCGCCGCAAGTGGGGCTCCGTATGTGTGCACTATGCCCCACAACCTCATCCAAAACAAATCGGGCTGTTAGTTGTTTTGTTTTCGTCGCGGCGTGTTTTGCTTCGCGACCGGTCATGTGGCATCTTAGCGTGCCACGGCGATAGTCTACTGTTCTTGGACTATGGATTAGGACAATATTTCGTATTTTTATTTTTTGTTTCATGCCAGTTTTTGAGCCAGTTTTAGAATTAGTTTTTTTTTCTGCTTCGTTATCGTTATTTTCTTTTTTTGGATTAGTACCTATCTACGTTTCAAGGTTGGTAGATCAAAACGAACTGTGGGGTTGAGGTTGAGGTTGTGGATAAATAATGGATAGTTGTTAAAATGCATGTAAAATTATTTGACCTATGCAATATTAAAATCTGCATATAATAAACAAAACATTACACATATTCTGAACGTGTTTAAAAATACTACTAGGTTGCAGTTCTGATAATAATAAGCACAAAATTTCTTTATACATCTTCTTTGTGTACCTAACATATATTTTAATTTCATTAAAATTTATATTTTTAAGTAATAATATACAGCGTTTTTATTTTAAAACCAGATAGTCGAAATAACTTTTGATTTTACGTAAATTTTATGAAGAATTCAGTAGTATGACTATTGGGTTATTTTTGATTTTGGCTCCTTCTAGCGGGATAAAACACTGTTACGTATTTTAAAGTGTGGCACTTCATTTGAAAGCTAATTTATTAGTAATTTAATAAAACATATAACAAAACATAATTTAATGAAACATGAACTTCAATAACTGAAAAATTGTGCAGATCTCTAACGTTAAGAAATACAAACTTTAATTAAATGGCTGATTGTAAAAATATGATTGGGCCACACTTATTAAAATTAAGACATTTTCTACTCAAGGTAATAAAATATAAGGTTACAAAAGCCATAAACCAAATGTAAATTCTCAAAAAATACCATCAATAGCTGATAAATTAAGTTATTGCATCTTAACAAAGTTTTAGTAATTTTAGAAGTTTATTTAAGACGTGTATCCTCAATAAATTAGCGTTGTGGCTTGTCATGTTATTCCCATAAGCCCTTCAATTGTAATCAACTGAAATAAGAAATGTATGCTAAGCATTGTCACTAATAAATTTAACTTTCAAATGAAGTATCACACTTTACAATACGTAACAATTTTATTCCGCTAGAGTGCGCTAAGATCGAAAGCAATGCAATTAATGATCATCTTGATCAATTCTCTATAAAATTACCTTTCAAATGATGTGTTACTTGACCATACTTCTTATTTCAAAATAGATAGTTGCTGCCGGGCTTCAGAAGATTGGATTTCTGGGTATGAATTATTGTATAAGATAGTTATCCTCTTGCTAAAAAAAAGTTAACGTGTTTTTTGTTTTTCTTAAATTTACGTAAAATCAAAAGTAATTTTGACTGGCTGGTTTTGAAATAAAAGCACTAGTAAACAAAAATTTGTACAGAATATACTACTAAAAAAAGTTTAGTTTCGAAGATATTGCCATAAAATAATATTAAGTATATAGAAGAAAATTGGATGGCGCACATAGTTTTCTCTGACATCCCCTGTAGTTTTTCATAATTTTTACTTATAATATTAGTTTTTTAAAACTACATAAAACAGAACTTTCTAGGATATATGGCGAACTCGCAATTTTCGAGATAATAAATTAAAACAAAATAGGTATACGAGTATATCATATTAACATTATTTATTACTATTCCCAGTTATTATGGTGTTTATATTAATGATTAAATAATGAAATCTATAGGGTAGCTAACAACTAACTTTCTTTGAACATGTCAACATCATATTGGCTATACAGGGTAGGGTGTCCAGAAACGCTCTTCAAAGAATAAAGCCACCAAATCTAGAGCTGATTTTATGACGATTTAGTCTAAATTTCCTTAATCCAAAAATGCTTCCTAAGGGAACTAGAGCTAGAGCTCTTTGAAAATAGTGCTCTAAAATCGGTTTAATTGAAATACCTTCTGTACATTTATTTATTTTAATATATAGAGTACCAATGAAATAAGTAGAAACACAATATAAAACATTTATTAACTATCATGAATTTAAAAGGACATTTTTGATGACTAGTTAATACACATATATTGGAGTATTGTATATATACAGGGTGGCCATTTGAAAATAAAACAGAGCCAATTTTGGGCACCCCAGGTCATTTACGAAAAAACTGTTGGACCCATCAATTTTTGATTTAAGGGAAACATTTTTTTGCTAATTTCACCCCCTGAACGGAAATCCTCTAGCAGGGGCCAACTTACTTCTAAAATCTTAAATGGAAAGAGGGGTTTAATGACAGCTTATTTTGAAGTATTTTTACATAGATTTTAACCCCCGAGTTTTAAATTGCTACTGTCTTTCTAGCCATGATATTTTAAAGATTTTTATTTTCTGTAAAAGCTTACCAGTTACTCGAGTAAATGCTAGAAATGCTGACCTTAAGCCTCCATGCAATAAAAGAGGTTTTGTTCAAAACGCTCTCGGACATTTTGAAGCATCTGTGGGGTGATTTGAAGACATTCACCAATTATCCGTTGTCGCAGATTTTTAGTGATGTTGGCTGGGTGGCATACATTTTAGTTTTTAAGTGGTCCCATAAAAAATCCAACGGGCTCAGATCCGGAGACCATGGGGGCCACTCAATACTTTCTTTTCTTCCGATCCATTGACCTGGAAACGTTTAATCCAAATAGTGACGAACAGTGGCGCATTGTCTTGCTGGAATATTAAGTTGTTTGCTATGTACTGATCGTCATTCTCAATCAACTCTAGTGATGCTGGATGTATGGCGTTTTTTAATAATTTCATATACATTTCTGCGGTTAAAGTTCCAGGTGAAAGAAGGGGCCAATTATACGGTTACCAAAAATTCCAGCCCAAACATTCAATTTTTCCGGATATTGCGTATATGCACTTTATGAAATATTCTGGGATTTGAGTCGGACCAATAACGACAGTTGTGAAGATTAACCGTACCATTTAGGAAAAAAGAGCATTAGTCTGAAAAACACGTTGAAAAGAAATTGCTGATCATTTATTGCCCGTTCAGTAATAATTTCACAAAATTGTAATCGCCTATCAAAATCGTCTTCCATAAGTTCTTCTAACAGATGTATTTTGTAGGGATGAAACTTGTTTTTTTTTTAATATCTTCTGAATGCTAGGGGAGAGTTCCTTTGAATTAGACATTTTTTTTGTTTTGCTATAACTTCTTTTCCTCTTAATATTTAATTAAACATTTTACACTTAATCATTGCTCAACAATTAAGGAAAACTTCTGGATACTCAAAGTTAATAAAAACTCATACAAATTTGTTCAGAATGGCTTTATTTATTTTTTGTTAGTTGTCCGATTCATCGACAGGTTTCCATGAAAAGTACGGTTGTATCCATGAATTGGACATATAAGAGATATATATTATTTTTAAATGCAATAAGGTCAGAATAAAGCAAAAAATATGTTTTATTTATTTATTCATTAAAATTTACAAACACCTCATGAGAAGATGATCTTAAATCAGTTAAGATGCTAACTTGGTAACTAGGTAACTTAATAACAATTTTTACAAAAAAAGTGTAAATTTCCCATAAACCCGCAAGAGTGGTGTGCCCATTTTGTACAAACTCGACATTGAAGCCATTCCTCTTTGCTTATATTGTATTCTTCGTTGCAAATTGGACAAACGGAATTTTCTGTCTCACATTCTTCTTCGGATAAATCTATTTTATCGTTTTCTAAAATTTCTTCATAAAATTTGTTCAAATTTGTTGGTGATGGCGATTCGTCGTGCAATGATATTTCAGTGTTCGTGTCGGAATCACTTTCGGTAACTTTTGATGATTTTATAACTTTTGTTTTAGTTTTCTTTAAACTTTCTTTAATTACTTTTCTAGACATTTTACCTTTATTCTGTTTTTTTGTCTTTTTTTCGTCAGCCTTCATTAGCTCATATTTTTCGGGAGTATCGGTTATAATACAGCTTTTTCCTTTCCTCCGATTAATCTGAACTGATTTTCGAGCCATAGCCTTAGGATAAGGTCTAATAATTTCGGGTGAAATTAAATTCAACTCTGCCCTTCCGTGCATTGTAATAGATTTTCCAGGAGTGTAAACATTTCTAGAACAGCTACAAGAACCACCAGAGCTAGTGGAAGGGGTAGGGTTTAAACAAAAGTTTGTAGAATTACCCATATTTGCGGAGCAGTTAAAAGGTATGTTGTCACTCTCAAAGCTACTAGAAGGAGTTGCATCTTAATTTAAATGTAGTCCATCAGATTCATTAATTTTATTTATGTTGTTCTCTTGATTTTGGTTTTCTGATTCACTTGGTTTTGGTCTGTCTGTTACAGTGGAGGGCAAAAAGTCGTCGTCAGTAAATATTGAGGAATTGAATGGATATATTCCTGTACTCTGAAAGCTCTTGCAAATGTTACTTATTGAGAAAGAGTCACTGTATGCAGCGTTAACGAATTCCGCCACTTCGTATATACTGACGGTTTTATCGGGATTGGAAACCAACCAATTGCTCATTGCCACTTTGTATCTTGCCTTAAAGGGACCGTAAACTGCAACGTCAAGGGGTTGCATCCGGTGGCTGCAGTGAGGAGGGAGTGTCAACATAATTATGTTGTTTTTTCTTGCAAAATCAACTACTGGTATATTGATGTGAGTTATATGATTATCCATGATAATCAAGGCTTTTTCTTCATTCGTAGGTTTCACATGGTTCACAAAATGCTTCAGAGATTCTAGAAATATGTCATCAGTCATCCAGCCTGACGGATTTGTCAAACCTTTGGATCCTGCCGGTGCCCCATTAAGCATAATGTCTTTAAAATAAACCCTAGGGAACACAAATACAGGCGGCAAACTTCTACCGGCAGCATTTATATAAAACAGAGTGGTAACAAGTGTTCCTCTCTCAGCGGATGAAATTTGGCCTACTTGTTTAGAACCTCTTACTGCTACAACTTTGGGTGGCTTGGTTACATCCAGTCTCATCCAGATTCCAGATCATATTGGGAGCAAATTTATGTTTAAGATACAAACTTTCTAATTTGGAAAAAAACATTGCTAAGTTTGTTTTGTTGAAACAAGATGCTCTACTTAGTGACGTGTTTTTGGGCTGACGGAGCGATAATTCCCTATTTCTTTTCATGAACCCATGAAGCCAATGAATACCAGCCTTGGCTGATTTGTTCCATTCAGGTGTGGTAGAAATATTATTTGCTGAACC